AAATCATGTTGATATTACAATTATTATTGATTTTATGAACAGAGACAGAGATGGAGATGAAAAGGAAAACAACAGTAGCAAGAATAGTCATGAGAACACTCAGGCTGGAAAGAAGCATGTGGCACTGAGGGACCTGCTAATGTAGCTGCTCTGATTACTCCCAAGACACACAGTCCTTTTCTGGCCCATCCACCCACAATGGATGGAAAAGTCAGAAGAATGAACAAGGAGTTTGGCCAGTGATATAAGCAGTGAAAATAAACTTCTGGCCCTCTCATGTGACATAATAGTTCCTACCAGTATAGGAAGAACTTGTACCTTTTTCTTTTGTCCCCCCACCCCTTGCACCCAACAAAGCAAAAGAAACTAGGCCAGTAGTCTTCTCTGCCCCTTTTTCCTGGTCCCTTCCCAGCGATTTCAGGCTGAAGAATTGAAGCAAACACTTTACAATGAGTCTGCACCTCTCAGGTTAGTGGTGATGTTAGGGGGCCATGGAGAATCAGGTGAGAGATGGTGGGGAGATGTCTTCAGCATACCATACAGTGTACCATACAGTCCACTCCAGTTTGCTCAAGAACCTTTATTGGAAAAGTGTCCAAGGAGTGAGATCACCAGCAGCTGGGTGGGCTACCAAGTGAAGGGGAGCACCGGAGGCTCCATGGAAGACATTGGAGTAGTGCAGTGTACCATCTGCCTCTAGGCCCAGGTGATTCTTTTTATTTTTAGGGGAGGATGAGTACCCATAGAAACATCCCTTTCTGAGGCCCAGAGGCAAGATGTCAGGATAGCAGGGGATGCCAAGTGTCCTGATGTAGGTGAAATGGGGCCCCCATTTGGGACCTAATGGGATAGGGTTAAACAAGTGACTCTCCCCTGGACCTGGGGGATGGGAGAAATGTTCCATCTGAAATCCACTCTCCAGGTCCAGGGGTGCAGACTCTAACAGACCTACCTTCTGGCCCTGCTCACAGTGGAAAGAGGATGGGTACCAGCCTGAGATCTTGGAAGTACGCCCTCTGGGAATCTTGGGCAGATCACCATCTTAGGCTCTCCCTGACCCCATCCCCATCCCTATGCTGTTAGTACAGCTCTCTTCTGATTCCATTTTTCATCCAAACGCAGTTCACTCAAACATCGATGGTGTTGATAGATGGTGACTTTTTCTGTGAAAGAGAATGGACTGGGTCTCTAATTTCAGCAAAGTAATAAGTGCTACCCTTTCTCCTGGGCCTCTTCCATCTCAGATCTTTCCTGCCTTTCCTTTCCCCCTTTTCCTGCCCCTCTCTGGCCTTTCACTTTCCTTCCCTCCCAAACTCCCAGGCCCCCACATCACCTGTCTTGTCCCTACTGGCCTTCCCTGAGGACTCTGCTCCGGCCCCTTCCCTTTCTCCTTGGGGTTGTTGTTGGAGTCGTTGTCCTTGATGATGTCATACTGACGGCAAAACAGCCCAATTACAGCTGAAACACAGCAATAGCATCTAAGCCCCCATCTCAACCTCTCCACTCACAGCTTTGAAGAGTAATGAGATACACAACTTCTAGAAAATTTAAGAATAAAATCCTTGAATTCTTGGTACTCATGCAGTCTTTATTTCTGGGCTCTCACCAGCCTCCCAACCATACCCTCTCAATCAAACAGCTCTCCATTTCATGTTTCTCCATTTTCTCCTGACCTTTGCCACCTCCCATCTTCATTGAGCCCTCCCCACCACCAAGCCCCTGGTCCCCCACCAGCTGCTCACCAGCCCACATGAGCAACACCACCACGATGATAACCACTTCCCCCGTCTGCAGTGGCTGCTCTCCATCCAGACCCTCCACTGTGATGTCCCCTGAGAAAAGAGGAAACAAACTCCAAGTCATAGAAAATCTGCTGGGAAGCTGGGTCACATATAGAATAGAGATATGGGGGTTTGAGTCTGTTTGGACCTGTCAGTGTTGGCCCTGGAGTCCTAGGGTAGCTCCTCTCTGGGAGAAAGTCTTTGGTAGACAGGTGGTTAGAGGCCAAAAGGTAGGAGGCCTGCAGAACTTGCTCATGCAGGATATGATGTACAGCTGTGTAAAAGGAAGCGGCAAAGCCCTTCCCCCAAAGGATTCATTAGCAGTCTGTCTATAATGGATCCCTGCCCACCTGTTTTTCCTTCCTTTCCTGGCAGTACAATGAATTAAATCATCTATTTATCTAAGCTAGACGGTTGGTTGCTTTGGGGAGGTAAATACGAATAAAAACCAAGTAAAAAGCCAGGAAATCCATTAGTACAGGCCCTCACCTGGGCTGGAGCTGTTGGAGGGCAGCCGGTCAGAGCCTTTGAGAGTTCGGAAGTGCACCCGGGGCCCCGGGGGGCTTTCTCCCCGGAGGCCGATGCTCCTGACCTGCACTGTGTAGTCGCTATCTTCAGCCAGACCCCACAGGGCACAGGCCCTAGTGGTGGTGTTCACCTCCCGGATCACACGCTGCCCCGGGCCATTCTGTCGCTGCAGGGAGATGAGGGGAGAGGGCAGCCTCAGCCCAGGCTCGACCTGGGTCTCTGGTGTTGACCAGCATTCCAAGGGAGCAGGATGGATAGGGAAGGCAGGGCCAGGGCACACCAGCTCCCAGATGCCCCCAGCTCTGGAGGAGAGTTGGAGTGAGGGTGGAGGTAACTAAAGGAATGTTTAGAGATCCAAGGACACAGGTTGGGGAAGCAGACGGGTGATTCATACTTGCTGGGAAATGGAGTAGCCAATGACGATGTTGCCTTCTGGGACATCCCAGGACACAGTAGCAGAGTTGGCTCTGAGATGGGTGACCGTCACATTCACAGGAGAGGGAGGTCGGTCTGTGGGTGCCAAGGTGTTAACAGGTTTCCCCCACACAGCACCTCTGGTTGACCACCACCCTCATTCCTTCTCACCTGCTCTCACGAAACCCAGGTCACAGCTGACCAGCAGGAGGACCGTGGGGCTCAGATATGGGGAGAGGGGCATCAGGGAAGCCATGGTCCCACCGATTCCACTGGGGGACACTGGGGCTTGCGCTTGACATCCAGGCGGAGCTCCTGGAGAAGAGCAGAGTTGTGGGGGGTCACATGGTGACACGGTGGACAGCAGCTTCCCCAGGCTACCGGTGCCACAGCAGCCCCCGTTTCCCCAAGTCTTCCCCACCCCCGCAGAATCCCGGCACCCACGGGCGCACACCCACCTCCGCCGGTCCTCGCAGCCGGTCAGGCCTCGGGGGGCTGCTCGGCGCCCAGGGGGCGGCCCATCGCCCGGCTCGGAGGCGCTGCCCCTACCCCATCCCAGCGCGGGCCGGCGAGGCAGGCGGCGCGGGCCGAGGTGCTGGCCGAGCACAGAGCGGGGTGCGCGCGGGCGGCGGGTCTGCTGGGCCCCCTAGCGCGGG